AGTATGCTGCTATAAAAAAGAAGGAACTCTTACCTCTCACAACAGCATGGATGGTCCTGGAGAGCATTATGTTAAGCAAAACAAGCCAATCAGAGAAAGATAAATATCACATGATCTCACTCATTTGTGGAATATAATGAACAGCATAAACTGATGAACAAAAATAGATATAGACAGAGCAAACAAACAAACAAAAAACCTGTGGTACATCTATCCAAAGGAATACTATGCTGCTATAAAAAAGAAGGAACTCTTACCATTCACAACAGCATGGATGGTCCTGGAGAGCATTATGTTAAGCGAAACAAGCCAATCAGAGAAAGATAAATATCACATGATCTCACTCATTTGTGGAATATAATGAACAGCATAAACTGATGAACAAAAATAGATCTATAGACAGAGAAGCATCAAACAGACTGTCAAACCTCAGAGGGAAGGCAGGAGAGAGGGTGGGATAAGAGATCAACCAAAGGTCTTGTATGCATGCATATAAGCATAACCAATGGACACAGACACTAGTGGGATGAGGGCATGTGCTGGGGGGTGGGAGTGGCCAGGGAGAGGTCAATGGGGGAAAAGGAGACATGTGTAATACTTTAATCAATAAAGAATAAGTAAAATAAAATAAAAAGAATCTGGTTGAGTTTGGCAATAACCAGTTCACATGAAGAAATCTTCCTTGGACATCTTATCAAGGAAAAATATGTGACATAATGACCAGGATGCTTTGCTAATTCCATGCTCAAGTTAAATGATGCAAGAACCTCCACTGTCTGAAGCAGCACTTCTCTTGTAGAAAAATTATCAGTGTACTGGATGGGATACAGTACTCAGCTGAGATACTTCTAAGTTAGAACTCTAGGAGTAGCATCTTGCTACTTACTGCCCTCATCGTACCACACTGGGACAATCATTCCAGCCTCGGCAGAGGAGACATATATACCTGGTAACAGGGCAAGCCCAACCTGTGGAAAACAGTATGGATAGAATGGGCTGCCCTCTCCAAGGACCAAATTTCTAGGCAAGCTGTCTGCCATTTATTTAAATAAAATTAAAAAACCCCATATTGTTGGTCCCAGCTTGACATAGAACAGAAGAATGCCAAATTAGGATGGTTAGGCAACCTTTAAAATTCCTACATCAGAGGGGGGGGTCTATGGAGGAGGGGGAAAGGACATCTGTAATACTTTAAACAATAAAGATAATAAAAAAAATCCTATATAATAAAAGGCTAATATGAAAATCACCCAAATGGTGGAACAACCAGTCGCTATGATGCACACTGACCACCAGGGGGCAGATGCTCAATGCAGGAGCTGCCCCCTGGTGGTCAGTGTGTTCCCACAGGGGGAGCACCACTTAGCCAGAAGCTGGGCTCACCGCTGGTGAGCACAGCAGCGGTGGCGGGGGCCTCTCTTGCCTCCACAGCAGCACTAAGGATGTCTAACTGCTGGCTTAGGCCCACACCCCCAAGTGCTGCCAGACTGCGAGAGGGTGCAGGCCGGGCTAAGGGCCCCCCCGCCCCTCCCTGCACCGCCCCCAGCCAAGTGCATGAATTTCGCTCACTGGGCCTCTAGTTTAATTATAAAAAAAATTCCTACATCAAAAACTATACCTTGTAAGCATGTAAAGAAAACAGGCTTTCTGGTTATCTAAGGTTGAAGTGCTGGAGTTGTTAAAAATAATTTGACATGTTTTCATGAGTGTTTCTTCATTTATTTCAGCCAAGATCTTAAAAACAATAAAACCAAATTGTATCAGAAAGCATCCAAAAATGATCCCTACCTGAGGAAGTCTGCAAGATTCCAAAGTGACTGGGTGTGAGTATAGCTCTGTATGCAGAAACATATGTTGCGGGTGGGGCCACTGGAAGTCGACATCTAGATTCAGGACAAGGCAAGATTCCAACTCTAGGATCTTGAGTTGCATTAAGACATGGTCACCCCTTAGGCTGGAAAATTCAGAGACCAATTCCAGAGATGAAGCTGTTCAAAATGGTCCGAGATGCAGCCTCAACACAGATTTTGTAATTGTAGGAATATCTGGTAGTTGGTGGTTGACTCCAATCTCTAAATTCTAACGAGTGTCATTTGGTTAAGCAATTGGACTAAAAAGAAGGATTACAGTAGAGAAGCCAGTGGTTGGTCAGAAATGTAAAGCATCCACATTCTACATTCTTATGCATCACAGTTGTGGCCAGCAGTGAACAAACCAGGTTCATCTCTTTTTTTCAGCCACTTCATAGCCAATGCTCTGTGAATCTTAACTTAAGGATTAAAGAGAGATCAAGCAGTGGCAAGGGTTTTAGAATTAGTTTTCTTCTAATGCCAGTTTTATTAGAACATGGATACAATGAGCTAATCCACCAATGGAAAGTCATAAAAAATGGTAAATATCTATAACATCTATTACAGCTACAAATTTTTACATGAATTTATCATTGAAATATATGTTCCTTAAAGAAATGACTTACATAACTATAGTATTTAAAAATATACTATGGAAAACAGTATCATTAAGATTGATAAGCAATCAATTCTGTTCATGGCCTACCCTGGCTACTCTTAGCCCTCAGCAGATGAATAATAAATGTATGTGACAAACTCCAAGATATCATTTCCCTTGCTCATGTGAATAAAATTACATCACGGTGTTATACATCCTGACACCAACCTTCAATTTATAGAGAATTAGAGTGTCTATGTGTTGAAAAAAAGGTGCAACTCTGAGTGTTACAGGAAGATATGAGCAGAAGACTTCAGAGGCCTTTAATATTTATGAATCACATAGAGATACTTAGGGATATCATTTTTGGTCACAGAACTTTATTTTAAAACCAATTTTAAGTACCCAAGGATTAAAGTTCAAGAAACAAAAATAAGAGAACACAAACAGCTATAGTTGTCTATGTGCTGCTAATTCTAACCGCCAAAGAGGAATTCCACCATATGTCAAAGGAGTCTCTGGACTAGAGACAGGGCAAAGGGCCTTGCTGATTATTGCTGGCTGTTGTAGAGGAACCCATCTGTGGCTTTCCCATTTAATGGGCCTCTCATCTTACCTATTAAAACATCCCTTTTCCTAGAGGAAAAGACTAATAATAAATACTTAAGTATAGTTATCTGATATACTCTCCTATCACCCCAGAAAGTCTTAGTAAATATAAAAGTGAACTACTTACTGCAGTAATTAGTACCTGTCAGTGGTGACTTCACAATGATTTGTTGAATGATGAATACCTTAAACTCTACCTCCATTATTACTCTACCATCTAAGAAACGTATGACATTAAGCCCCACTGCTGAGTAATTTATCTCAAAACAGGGCCAGCAGGAGAGCTAACCCATAAGATTTATGACATAAGCACTCAGGCACCCTAAGGTCTTTATCTGTGCCAACATAAGTTACCTAGTTACTGATACAAACTTTACCCCACAGCCTCGCTCTGGAAAAATCAGGAAAAGGGAGAGAGAGGAGAGGGAGAGATCAGTACCTATAACACACTGCATGCCACCCCTTTTTGTAGCTATTCCTAGCCAACACTTGGTAAAAACTTTATTTTGCAGCTTTTTTCACTTTTCCTTGATCATCTACTTTCTTAATGGCTGCTTGGATAGCCTCTTGGTCACCCAGGAACTGGTGAGGCCCAACAGCATGCAGGTTCTCATCCAGTTCCAGGAGAATGGGGACGCCAGTGGGAAGAGTAATGTTGATAATGTCTTCATCTGAGATACCTGCAGATTAAGAGAGGAAGGAACAAGACATTAAAGGCAACTCTGGAGGTGGTTCTGTTTAAATCTAGTTCAATAGATTAGAAAGTGGTTGGTTTTCCAACACTGAGTGAACTGGAATGCTCGGGCTAAATCCAGTTAAGAGGAACACTTTCTAGCTACTTGGGAAGCCCCGTGAGGAGGAGTCAGGACAGGATTATAAGTCATGCCTTGTAAATCGGCCTCATTCTCCAACTGTCCCTTATCATCCCAACTGATAGGAGAGGAAGGTATGTGTGATGGACAAATTACCTTCAATTGGTTTTTACATAAGCTAAATTACATGTACTTCAACTTTGACCAGAAGAGTTGGAGTTGGATTTAAGACTACAGTAGTAGCAGTGGTAGTGATAGTATTTTTATTATTATGACTACTTTTAACAAAAACAGCTAACATGTACGAGATACATTCTACATGCCAAGTACTCTTCTAAACACTTTACATGAATTAACTCATTTAATCATTGCTGCAATCCTATGAGGTTACAAGTTATTATTTTTCCATGTAACAAGTTTTTGCACAGAGAGGTAAGCAAACAACTGACAGTCACTCAGACATAAGTAGCAGAGCCTGATTCAAACCCAGGCGTCTGTAACTACTGTACCAAGTAATGCCTTCAAGTTTTTCTGAGTTCAAAATGGGGAAAGAGAAGGAAGGAGAAAAGAGACAGAGTTAAGCAAATTAAAAGATAACTGAAACTATTCAAATTATCTATTTTAAAAACATAATTTTGTTACATAGACTTCTACATTTTAACCAAATGTTTCTGTTCTATATTAATAGAAAGTACTGAGGTGGAGCAAGTTCCGAGGAAGAGTGTGAGGGTTGTCTTTACTTGGGAGGTGATGACGGCAGAAAAAAGTTATTATCAGTTAGTTCTCAATGTACTTTGTCATTTTAATTAACCAATGGTCGTAGCAATAGCACCAGCCAAAAGTCACAGAACCATCGCACTGGATCTCAACCACTAGGGTTGTTCTTTATTAGAATTTCATTCTAGGCCCAGAAGAGCTACCTAAGAACTCTAATACACAAACTGTACATACTCAAACAGCTATGAAACCATGGACAGTACACTAATATACTGCCCATCTCCTCTTCTGCCAGTCCCCCTCAATATACTAAACTCTTTAACTTTAGGCAAGTGAATTTCTGGGTCTCCACATTCCCCCTGTCAAGTTAAAAAAGGAATACACACTCTTCTTTTGCTATTACCAAGGATGTGGGGTAGTAGAAATGGAATTAGGAACATGAAAAAGTGTAGCACAGTGTTTCTGCATCCCTATTAGGAATTCTCTTCTAGGTGGAAGATTTAAAGGGTAGACTACTAAAACACTCCTTTGCCCTGCCAAGTCCTTGTCCCCACACTGTATATAACCCCACAAAAGATTACTATCCCAAACTAAAGCTGCAGGGAACAAATCAGTTCAGACCAGGCAGCCAGCTGTGTAGCGGGAGGATTCTGAGAGCCCTCTAGTTCCGTCAGGTCAGACCTGTCAGCTGGATGCACAACAGCTGCCACAGCCATCCCCTGGAGACAGCAGAGCAGAATTCACCAGCACGAGGTTTAGAGCCAGGTGGCCAATGAGGCTTTAGAACCCAGAAGTTCTCACCCCAATCCTCTGAAGGTCCCTAGGCCTGACTCACTCAACAGCCAGTAACTGAGGGCCTACTATACCAGTATATGTGCGCAGTACTTGTGACCATGCCCAGGATTTGACCTCTAGTGAACTACTTCTTCATTTATAAAAGGAGGGAGGATAGCCCCTTCTAGCACCAAAGTTCCTCTATTTTGTTCTGAATGGTTAAGAAAAGCAAAGGCACTTTAGAGGGAGGCATGAGAAACATTGGGACACTGACTAGTGTTTACATTCACCTATCATGCAAGGACCATGTTTTATCTGTACCCAGAGTATGTAAGCATATTTCTCATTGAATTGGAGAGAAAGATGGATTTTAAAGATTTCTTCAATTAATCTAAATTTTTCACTGCAAAAAAATTTGTTAGGAGACAACAGTTTAGTAAAAATGATCATGTTTGACTAATGTTTTCCAGGAGAAATAGAAATTATGAGCATACACATCTATCAGCACCTCAGATTCACTGCTTATAGATTGTGGGCCTTGACAACATTACCGACCATTAACCTTTACAAGTCATTTTTGGGTCTAGGACTTTATTTTAAAACTAGAGGCCTGGTGTACAACATTTGTGCACTGGTGTGTGTGTGAGGGATGTCCCTCAGCCTGGCCTGCGCCCTTTCGCAGTCTGGGAGCCCTCGCAGGATGTCCAACTGATGGCTTAGGTCCGCAGTTGGACACCCTTAGCACTGCCGCGGAGTTGGGCCACTGCGCTCGCCGCCATCAGCCCGGCTTGTGGCTGAGTGGTACTCCTCCTGTGGGAATGCACACACTGACTACCAGGGGGCATCTCCTGTGTTGAGCGTCTGTCCCCTGGTGATCAGTGTGCATCATAGCGACCAGTCATTCTGCTGCTCTGTCAATCTGCATATTACCCTTTTATTGTATAGGATTATTATATAGGATGACTAAGTTCCCACTTTTATTCAACATTGTACTGGAGATTTTAGCCAGGGCAACTACACAAGAAAAGGAAATAAAAGGCATCCAGATTGAAAAGAAAGAGATAAACTATCTCTATTTTCAGATGATACAATCCCACTAAAAAATAACTGAATCAATAAATGAGTTCAGCATGTTGCAAGAAATAAGATGAATATATAAAAATTATATTTCTATATAGTAGTGATGAGCAAATAAAAAAATGAAATTAAAACAATTTCATTTACAATTGAAACAAAACAAATAACATACATAGGAATAAATTTAACCAAAGAAGTACAAAACTTTTACTTTGAACACTATAAAACATTGCTTTCCCCAAATTAACATACAGATTCAATAAAATCCCTATCAAAATTTCAGCTGACTTTTTTTTTTGCAGAAATTGACAAAACTTCATGACCTTGAATTAGTCAAGGGTTTCTTACATATAACACTAAAAACATAACAAAAAAAAACTAGATAAGCTGGGCATATAAAAATTGTGTTTGTGTTTCAAGCACCTCATCAAAAAAGTGAAAAGATAATTCAGAATGGAAGAAAATCTTTGCAACTAATTTATCTGATGATCTAGAATATATACAGAACTATTACACTTCAATAATAAAAAGACAAACGGTCAAATTAAAAAATGGGCAAAAGATCTAAACAGACATATCTCTAAAAAAGATACACAAATGGCTAGTAGGCACATGAAAACATGTTCAACATGATTAGTCATCAGGAAAATGCAAATCAACACCACAATGAGATACCACTTCATATCCACTATAATTAAAAAATGTCAGATTATAAATAAGTGCTGGTGAGGATATAGAAAACTGGAATCCTAGTACACTGTAAAATTAAGCATATAAAATGGACACTTTGGAAACAGTCTGGCAATTCCTCAGTTAAGCATAGCGTTACCATCTACATATTGTATGATTCTATTTATGTGAAATGTTCAGATTAGGCAAATTTATAAATAGATTAGTGGATGCCTAGGACTAGAGGGAATGAGGGGACTGGTAAGTGACAACTAGGTGTAGGGTTTCTTTGAAAGGCAATGAAAATGTTCTAAAATCAACTGTGGTGATGGATGAAAACTCTGTGAATATACGGAAAGCAAATAACTATATACTTTACACAAGTGAATTGTATAGTACGTGAATTATATCTCAATAAGGCCCTTAAAAATACTAAACAAATCCAGAGAAGTTATATAAAACTGCTCAAGTCGCAAAACTGTTATGGTAGTACAACTGAACCTGGTGGTGTTTTTTTTTTTTAATTCCCAAATCCCAGGACTTTGATTCTGGTCATCTGACTCATCTATGGATATGTCCACCACAGCATGAGGAGAGAGGAGGATGTTTGTGTGCATGTGCTGCCCTTGTGAAAGGCTGGGTGCTAACGATGCAGAGAGCAGAGCGGACTTTTTGGACACCTCTGTCGATCCACTATGGAGTCACCAACAGCCATGACAGTTATATCAAGTACTATATCAAGACTGAGGTACGAGGACGTAATGGGGCTTATTCTCCTAATAAACCTGGCATTGTGGAAGGACTCCTTCTGGGGATGTTCCCTTGCTCCAGTGTTCTCATATTTTCAATACTAGGAAAGGATGTGAACACAGCTGTCCGGTCCTCTTGAAATAGCTCACACACTGCCATCATGATGAGGTTTGGGGGTTACAGTCTGTGACCTTAGAAAAGGGTCCTTGTTTAACAGTGGCCTCAGATCTAACCAGATCTAGCAGGCCCGCTCTTTAATAGCACCACTCTCAAGCTCACCTACACCTTAGATGTGTGGGATCAAATCAAAGAAACAACTAAGCAAAGGCCATGAGAACTATAATTTTTCATCTACAAAGGAAGGAGAGCTCAACAAAAATAGGAATGTTCCCAATAAAAAAAAAGTTGACATTCCACTTTAATCACTACTCAAGCCATTCACACAGCAGACTAATTACTTGCAAATACTTAAAATACTTAGACTAGTTAATAAGCAGTCAATGAGACAAATTTTGAATAGCAAATTAGGAAAAACCACAGCGAAGCCATTACTCATTGCTCAGTTTTGGCATAAGTCACATTCTTTGTCCTAAGAAAGTTAAGCAAGCAGAACTCCTAAGGCTAGAATAATGCATCTGCACTGGATTAAACCAAACTGAATCAATACTATATTATGTAATATCGTGCTACAAACTCATTAACTCAACATCATATCACATCTTTTGATAACCGGTATAGATTTTTTTATACAGCATCTAAGCATGTTCTGAAAGGAAACATCAGAGTTCTCATCCTGCATCAATGATTTTTTATCACCCCTCTGCAGCCACCCCCTTCTAAACCCCCAACCATTGTCTTTAATGGTAGGGAGAGGGATAGAGAGCTAGAAATATCCATCAGCCACCTCCTGCACACCTCCTATGGGGATGTGGCCCGCAGCCAAGGTACATGACCTTAACCGGAATCGAACCTGGGACCCTCAGTCCACAGACCAACACTCTATCCCACGAGCCATTTGTAATACCTTAACCAATAAAGAAATTTAAAAAAAAAATTCTTTATTGTTAAAAGTATTACAATATGTCTTCTTGCCTTTAATTCTCAAATCTTCATGTAGGAGCTTTTGGGAGTTAACTGCAATCAAGTTAAATGATTGGGATATTTCAAGTAAATCAAAGCGGAAACAACTTAAGACCAATCTGAGGATAAATTCAAACTTCATTTTCTGCATATAGGACGGACTTCAGAAAGTCACCTCCCCAAATCATCAGAAACAGGAACCACAGACAGGTAAGATCGCTGTATCTATACTACACCACTCACACTTTGTTGGAGTGGCCGTGCATATGCTCACTTCTCCCACCAGGATTATAAGCTCCTTGGAGAGGAACCATGTTTTATCCAGCCCTATATCACCCATGATCTTGGAATAGTACCTTACCCACTGAAACAATTTAGCAAATGTTCAACAGTAAGGACCACTATTATGTGTTGGCTGCTAGGATCCAGAAATTATACATATAACTGTATGTATTATACGTCTACCTTTAATATATAAATATAGGCTATAAGGAATAAAACATTAACTAAAAACTCTATTACATAAAGCCTACACATGAAAGCATTCTGAGGCCTTTCAGGAGTACAATATTGGCTAAGTTTTAGAAAGAGACCCAAGTGGAGACATAGTTCCTCAAAGTAAGGACTTTGTGTGTCTAATTATAGGTGCCGTACCCTGACACCAAGAACAATACCTGATTTAACAGACCCTCAGCACATAGCTGAAATGAATGAATCTGAACTCCTTGGGCTTTCAAATTAAATCTACTTTCTTACTGTTGAAGCCTCGATTAGAGATTGTCTTCTCTTCGTTACCTTACCAGGAAAAAAAAAGAATTGAAAAAGTTGAACAGAAGACTGCTTGCATTTAGTGCTAATCAAGTAAACAATTCATATTAAATTTGTCTTCTATGTATTTTCTTTGGTTTTCTCCAAAGTATTTGTTCAAAATCTTTGAGTATCAGGAAATAGGAGAAAAGATGTTGAGGGGTTCAAATTTGTCATAGGACAAGAGGAAACCCTACTTCTAACATGCATATTTTGGGGGATTAGAAAAAGAGGAAAACAGTTTTGCCAAATCATTCAAGTATGAGGTCCCACCCATGCCTCACTTTCCTTTCCCAATCAAGCAAGTCATAATTCAAACCCCACTATGGGGTATTCATGATAGGTGTTCTGTATTCTTCTATTGCCAAAATAAGAGCTAACATAAGAAATTCTAAAAAAAAAGAAGAAAAAATTCTGAATTTTATAGATGACCTACCTATGTTTAATGAAAATTCTTTAGGATTTGAATGCTATATATGTACAACCCAAGAATGGCTGGGGAACCACTCGGAATGGGTTATTTGAATGCTAGAGGCCTGATGCACAAAATTTGTGCAAGAGTAGGCCTTTCTTCCCCTGGCTGCTGGCACCGGCTTGCCCCTGGTACCCGGGACCCGGGCTTTCTTCCCTCTGGCCACTGGCAGGCACCCAGAACCTGGGCTTCCCTGGAAGCCCCAGTTTCGTTGGAAGGACGTCCAGTCTAATTAGCATATTATGCTTTTATTATTACTAGTATAGACTGTAACATGATGATAGGATAATTTAGAATAAGGCAGAGAGAAGAATCCATTCTACATTTAATTTTATAGTTAAATAGCCTACAACTTTTAAGATTTCTATAAATAAATTATACTTATAAGAGAAAGTGTAACTATACCATGAAGCTAGTATTTGTTTCATAAAAGAGATGCCTGAATTTGCTGCTTCTGAAAATATCACACTAAAATGCCAAAGGTGACTTACTCGCCTGTTCCTGTCCCACAGTGAGTTCCAGCTGACCTTTCCTCCCTGATTCTCTAATTTCATCTGACCACTTCTGTGCCTTGTTATGTGTACAGCTGCACGCAATTCTTCAGGGATCAAGTATGTCTTTCATGAGTCTCTTGCATGCCACTCTTATTCCAAACTTGAGACTGCCTAGCCCTGTGCTTGAACCCAGACTAAACAATCCACTTCCGCTGGCAAGATGCAGACTGCATCCATTGCCTCCGTTCGGGACCTGGCCTTGCCTTCACTGTGGGCCAGCAGGAAACAAACAGGAAGTGACTATGCCAACCACAGAGAATGAAACACACGCCTGTCTGGAATGCTACAGAAGAGCATGCTTTTAGATACTAAGCCTGGTAGAGGCGTTTTCAGGGTGGTACTTTGGGTGGAGAGTGTCTGAACCAGTGAAAGGGGGCCCTGCTTTAATCTGAACTTGTTGGGATAGGTAATTATGCTGCTAAAAATCAGTAAAGCAGTCCCTTAAGGAGGAATTTTCTTACTATATAATATTTCATGTCTGCTCTAACTCTTCTTTCTTCTAAGTACTAAGAACTACTCTCAAGTTAAAAGTAAAGCAACTCCCCAAATTACATATAATTTAAGAGCAGAGATATTACATAAGTAAGCAATTTCACAGGGTAGAGGCCATCCTGCTCAGGCCTAGGCATTGGCATGTGGTTCCTGTGTTTGCAGTTCCTGTATAGGAGTGTTACCTAGCTCTGAATCAGTAACACGCGCTTCCCACTGTGCTGTTCTTCTGCTCTGACTCCAGGAGGTCCTTGGTGACCCACTCCTAGACTAGCTGGTTGTGAAAAGGAAAAAAAATAGATGGAAGGCCCAATTAAGAATAGAACTTAGAATTTGGTGGCAAATGAGAAGAAATAGTTTGGGGGCAGGAAAACCTTTCCTAATGGAGCTCAAGACCTCAAGTACAAAAATTCATGGTCCAGGAGCTTGTACAAAACTTCTTATGAAGAAGGAAGAAGGACGTTAAGAGGGAATTCTATATACTGACCATGGGCTACTAGATGCTAAATAAAGTCTGCACCAAGAGCTCCTGAAGTATTTGTTGAGAAAGCATAATGATGCCCTCCAGGTTAGTTTTCAAAGGGACAGGTAGATGTACATAGCAACTTTCATTTAATTCTACTAACTGACAAACTAATCTAGTTTATTATTTTGTGAAACAAAAGGCAAGGTCCCAATTAGAGCAATGGTCACTTCACTAGATAAAGGTGGATCTTATAAAATTGAGATAAATTTACATACAGTAAAATTCACCCCTTTTGGTGTCCAAAATAGTTCTATCATATCCCCAGTTGACCCATCTGGCCAGGGCAGAATGCTTGGATCTTATTCTTCAATATCCTCTACAAGAGAAATTCTATTAGTGGAAAATTGCATGTAGAAAATAAGAGAATTTATGAAGTTATCCTAAAAATATACTCCAGTCTTTTTCATGCACATGAAATAATTTCTTCCATGTTTGGCAGGGGAGTAAATCACCTATATAGGGAATCATAGCAAGATCAAAGAACTCCACGAATATTACCAACAGTACCACCAGGGGGCACTATAGGCCAAAAAGGAGCAAAGTTGTTATACCCAGAATGGGTGAGCCAACGTTACAAACCACTTTATGTCTGTCTCCCAATGGACAAATCTCAATCTTCACATAGACTCCATTTGTTTCCCGAGCCACAGGTTTGTGCCTAATAGCATATTCTAGCTTTTCTGAGAATTTTTTCCCCTGAATGTCTGCCATTCTCCCTGGGCACCAACCCTACCATTTCCATTCCCTGTCTCCCTCATATACACCTTCTTCCCTGCAGATAGCTGCCAACCCTATACCTTTTTCTACTTTCACATACTTCCTACTCAAGTGTCTTCATACAATTGACCTCTTCCAGCACGAATGCCAATGTTTTAGTTCAATTATTTCCCAAATAAAACATTTTCTATAGAGTCTATTTATAGTAATAGGGGTAGGAATTATAATTTAAGATTGATTCAAATAAATTAATCTCTGAAATGTGATACAGTTCCATACCTCCAACTAAAAAAAAAAAAAAAAAAGATCTTCAGAAGAAAAGTTAAATGAAGCCTGAGTACTAAAGCCTGCTAATTTCTCAGGGATTCCTGTAAATTCATTTCTGTCCCAATGGTCAAAGCTGTGTTCTAAATTTTTATTGATTCTACTAGAGGCCCGGTGCACGAAATTCATGCATGGTGTGTGTGTGTGTGTGCACGTGTCCCTCAGCCAAGCCTGCACCCTTTCCAATCTGGACTGCTGGCTCCCAAACACTCGCCTGCCTGCCTGCCTGATTGCCCCTAACCGCTTCTGCCTGCCAGCCTGATCACCCCCTAACCACTCCCCTGCCAGCCTGATCGATGCCTAACTGCTCCCCTGCCAGTCCGATTGCCCCTAACTGCTCCCCGGCCGACCTGGTCCCCCCAACTGCCCTCCCCTGCAGGCCTGGTCACCCCCAACTGCCCTCTCATGCAGGCCTGGACCCCCCAACTGCCCTCTCCTGCACGTCCGTTTTCCCCTAACTGCCCTCCCCCCACTCCCCTCCCAGCCTGATCAATGCCTAACTGCTCCCCTAAAGGCCCTATTGCCCCTAACTGGCCTCCCCTACTGGACTGGTTGCCCCTGACTGTCATCCCCTGCAGGCCTGGTTGCCCCCAACTGTCCTCCCCTGCTGGCTTGATCGCCCACAACTGCCTTCCCCTGCTGGCCATCTTGTGTGTTAGAGTGATGGTGAATTTGCATACTGGTCGTGGCTAATTAGCATATCCAGCCATGGCTAATTAGCATATCTGGGCGAATTAGCATATCCATCTCTTATTATATAGGATACTTTACATCCACACATTTTTACTTTGTTATCACTTTTTTAAAAAAAATTTATTGTGCAGTAGTTCTCAACCTTCTGGCCCTTTAAATACAGTTCCTCATGTTGTGACCCAACCATAAAATTATTTTCGTTGCTACTTCATAACCGTAATGTTGCTACTGTTATGAATCGCAATGTAAATATCTGATATGCAGGATGGTCTTAGGCGACCCCTGTGAAAGGGTCATTTGACCGCCAAAGGGGTCACGACCCACAGGTTGAGAACCGCTGGTTTAAAGTATTACAGACAGTAGTACATATGTCTCTCTTTTTTTTTCCTCATTGACCTTCGTCTGGCCTCCCCTACCCGCCGGCACATGCCCTCACCCCCCTCACCCCCCGTGTCTTGTGTCCATTGGTTATGCTTATATGCATGCATACAAGTCCTTCGGTTGATCTCTTACCCCGTCCCCCTCCAACACTTCCCAGCCTTCCCACTGTAATTTGACAGTCTGCTCAATGTTTCTCTGCCCTAAACTATTTTTTTCTAGACCAATGTCAAATCCTTTCATCTTTCAGTCCCATTAATGTAGTTATTTTTGCATGTTCAATGATAACTCACATACATTCAATTCACCCATTTAAAGTGTACAATTCAATGGCTTTTAATATATTCAGACTTGTGTAACCATCACCATAATACATTTAAGAACATTTCCTCTACCCCAACCAGAAACCCTGCACCTATTTATCAGTCATGCTTCACTCCATGTGCTCCTTCACCTCCACCCCAGTCCCAGATACAATCTACTTTTTGTCTCCGTAGATTGGCCTATTCTGGACATTTCATAGAAATAGAATCCTAAAATATACTAGGGGCGCAGTGCACGAATTCGTGCACCTTGAACTATGGTCCATGAGGCTGCACCCCCTCCCACCTTGGCCCCAGGTCCCCTGTCTGCCAGCAGCCACACTCCCACCGCCACACACTGACGGCACCGGCCCCACTTGCACCCACTGACGGCACAAA